GTCTGTTACCGTCAAGGCGACGTTCATCCGTAGCTCGTTTCGGATTTAAAATTCAAATAGTCGCAGGATTTGACCGACTTGTTTGAGCTTACTCTCTGTGGACGATGTAATACCCGACGAATTTACAGTGGCCTCGAATTTACTGCAGCTTTTGAATTTTCATTATGACTCATTGACTTTACTGTGTAGGTGGATCGGAGATACATTAGCGGGTGGCTTATATCAATAATGTTTTATTGATGAGTTCCTTTGCACAGTTCTTGCTGCTGCATACATTACTATTGTACTTGTCTTGCTGGTAAAATTAATATTCGATTCCTTTTTGTTTTATTATACGCCTGGATTTTGACAATACAAGAGCGAGCTTTAAAGTCAATTAAATTACATTAAGGCAAGTCGTCACGTTGTACAGTAGAAAGTGAAGCGGCGCAAGCGCATCGGACGCGTTAGAAAGCGGCCAGCCGGCCCCGGCGCCGCCCGAACGAACATTCACGACAACGAGCTTGACGCATTCCTTCATATGCACTCAGAAGATGGTTATCTGGCTAATATAAATGACCTGTCAACGTTCAATTCAAAGCTGAACATGATGGCAATTCAATCAATACGGCACAAAATGAAGACGCATCGTTTTATTTATATAAATTCATATGATTTAATCGTCAATGTCAACGTTTATATAGTTATATTATATTTCAATAAAATACTAATTACTGTAACTAATAAAACCGCAATAAAACTACCTTAGCACATCATGCTATAAACGTTCGATTTGTATTATAATTTTATATCTAAACATCGTTTAACAGCCACCGAGCAATAACCCCTCGTAGAAGTTAACACTAAACTCGTTTGGTGTTGCTTATTCGTCCCCTTATCGTTTTAGGTCGGTTCGACCCCACGCCTCATCGCGACGTTTACCAGGTGCGTTAAGCCCCTTCCGCCGCAGATGCTCGTGTCGTCCACATAAAACGTACGATAAACTTGCAGTGTGTTACGAATCACTATACCGATTATTCGATTGCAATTTCTTTTAAAGTTAACCGATGCAAGGTTTATCGGTTTTAACTGAAGCTACGACTAAACGGTTAAAGAAATATAATTACCTATACGTAATTGAAACATTTGCTTAACATTTTCACCTGTTCTTAGAAAATATTTATTGTGTTTTTACCTATTTAAAACGAACATAATTAGCATCACCAAAGGTATTTCTAATTTAATGTCCTCTAATGCTATAGGGACATCTCATTTAATTTATGTCATTAAAACAGTCTTATAACTAAAAATTCCTGTAAAATTTCGGTTTATCAGTGAATAACCCAATTCTGGAGATGATAGTGATGGTGATAGAATAGTGTACGAATATATATAGAGCACTGGGTTAATCATTTCTCGCTCAAGGTCTCCTCATACCGTTAAAATGTAAATATATTCAAATAATCTTTGTATCAAACAAAACTGTTCATGAAAATCTTGAAATATTTAGTTTACCAGTTAATTTGTAAACAAAAGCATGAATACTTAATTAAAATACGTCAAACACTGTAACTGTACTACACACATTTGAATAGCTCTAGAGAACCATGATGGGTGGCGGTGACCGTAACTGCGGTAGAGAGTTGAGAGCATCGTTGAAATATTCAACAAAATGCTACAGATAACACAGGGTTACACAATTAGATAACATTTTGACTACAGATCGTGGAATCCCACTCAATTAAAACGCAATTAACGGATTTTCAACTGTCCCTTTGAAGTTTAACGAATAGAATAGATACTATTTTGTGATAAATACGACCACCCAAATTCAATAACAACACAACTGTTGCGTTGTTATTGAATTTGGCAAATTTCATCTTGGAAAATTTCGCACTTATAATATTAGTATGGACTGTTACAGTCCATACTAATATTATTAATGCGAAAGTGTGACGTGTCTCTCTGTCTGTCTGTCTGTTACCTCTCTTCACGCTTAAACCGCTAAACCGATTTAGATGAAATAGGGTCTTTATGCATCGTCTGTAAACAGCTTATTGACAATAACGCGTGAGTAAGCAGTAACCCTAAAATACGTACGAAAATATCGAATGATAAATCACCGGTCATTCACAGTTCACTGTGATTTTGAACCATTTATACGAAGTTATCCCGGCAGGACCTCAGAAGCCTCAACATACTTGTGACTTTTGAGTTGTTGCTCATGAGAGGCGGCACTCGCTTTCCATCAGATGACTAGTTTGATTGTTTGTCCTAGCACCATAAAATCCAATTGAATCTTGCCGGGCCTTTTGTTCTAGTGGTTATTAACCCTGACTGCTATGAAGGAGGTCGTGGATTCAATTCTCACCCAGGACAGATATTTATGTGATGAGCATGATCATTTGTTCTGTGTCTGGGTGTAATTTATCTATAATATGTATGTATTAAGAAATATATAAGTATGTTTATTAGCAGTATGGGTCCCATAGTACAGGCTCTGTCTAGTTTGGAATGAGATAGCCGTGTATGAGATGTGTGAGGTTATTATTAATATTATATTCTTAAAATAGGTCTTAAGAACCAAATCATTATTTACTTTTTATAAACAGAAGTTACTTCAATTCATTTCTGGTCAAACGGCTTTTTGATGTTAATAAAGACATTCAATACATCCAAATGTAAATTAAATCATCCAAATGGTTAATCGAAAGTGTTACAAAAAAAATAATGTTACAAGTTATCCGGTATTACACCGAAAAGGTTGCGATGCATGTCCAGGGTTCCGGCCGCGGTACGGTAGGTATTTGACCCGATAAAATATTTGCATATCCAAGGTCGACACTCCACCTGCGGCATGAACTCACACCATTACCGAGCAATTGAGGTAGGTACACTAATGGCCGTGTGAAAGCTAAGCTAATTCTCTTTACCGGCACAAGCCTTTGATTATATTATGAATGAAACTTTGTGTGATTCTTTTGCTCTTGTCAATTGTAAACTGTAGCGAATTTGATGATGACGTAAATACTTCTTGTGTTTTATGTACGCGAGAGTGTTTTTTTTTAGGTGGCCTGAGGACCATATGTGCAAGGTTTTAAAGTACCTATATACGTAGGACTTTATTGAAAACATTTGCAAAACAATAATTTATAAATAAATTTGTTGTTTTCTTTTTCTCGAACTTAGATAATTACGTCTAAAATAAAAAATATTGTGAGTTTGTCTATTTAGAAAGTAATAATAATAATTTCACACATTTTACACACGGTCGTCTGATCCCCCAGACTGCTGATAAATATACTTATATATTTCTAAATACATACATTTTATAGATATAGTACACCCAGACACAGAACAAATGACCGTGCTCATCACACAATTATTTGTCCTGGGTGGGAATCGAACGCACTACCTCTGGTGTAGCAGTCAGAGTCACTTACCGCTAGACCAACAAGCCAGTCTTTGGCCACAATTGTTTCGATTTCGTTACGCTATACGAAATGATTGAATGTAGATATATCGATTATGAATAAGCAGTACATTGTATGTAATTGTTAAAAGTTAATTTATATTGTTATTATAACTATAATGCAGATGCTGTTTTTTTTTTAAAAGACAACTCCCGCAATAGGAATATATATCTTGTGTCGCGGGAGACTTTTACAAACATACGTCAAACGGACACAAATAACACCCAGACTCAGAACAACAATTTGTGGATCACACAAAGTGTTGTCCCATGTGGGGATCGAACCCACAACACTTAGCGTAGTAGCGGCGTGGTAACCGCCCAAACCACTACGCCACCCGTGCAGTCAAATTAGGTATCTACTTTAAATTAAAAGAAGACCAGAAATTGTAGATGTAATCGTGCGCATTGAATAAACAACCATAAGTGCACATACATAAACTTGATAAAATACGTGTTAATTATGCAGCTATTCTTCGTCGTCATTTCGTCATATCTTAGCTAGTCTATGACACAAACTATTTACAGAGTGACGCGCGAGTCATCTAGGTTCGCAATAAATACGTAAGCATAAATGTTCCGGAACAGAACTTTCCTGTTAACAAAGTTAGGATTTTCGTTGAAGCCTCGGTAAACGTGTTAATTCTACAAAAACAGTGCCAGTGAATCTCGCAACTTATAGCATCGTGCCCGGTTTATCGCCCTTTGACCACTCGTTTGTTTCCAGAACCTCGTTTAAACGAAATTAAAAAGGCTCCAGATAACTATTAGCCTATATTTTCCAGAAATATTGACAGGGCTCACAAAGTTTTCCATTATTTAAGCTCCCTCGCCCCGTGTATAACCAAATGTATGACATTGATAACCACCTCGGTCAGTTCAAAAGACCTGCACTTATCATGATGACATGAAAACTTATATTTCGTGTCATCATGATTAGCAATAGGATTTTTTTTGTAGCCGTTGAAAGCAAAACGTACAATCCATCAAATCAAACAATAAGGTCTCTTCGTCTTATTCTTTCAATATGTATAATCAATAAAAAAACCTTATGGATTACCTTACTTATCTCAGCTCGGATATACAGCCTCTGGATAATTTGAGCTTCGGAGAAAGATTTATTTAATGAAAATTTAAAAGTTCTTTACAAACCACACAATAAGTGTTCAATTTTCATATTTAAGTTAAAATTTGTCAAGTCACCATTTGTATCTCAGCTTCCGACATAATCCCTTACACTTCTGCCCCTCTGGACATTTGCCAGTGCGATAATTATAGACATTTTCGAGGTCTTAATGCATTTTAATCCAGATTGTAAGACCGCCTTTGTTTTTATTAACGAAAATTGTTTCTTTGGTTCTTGATGTTTATACAGTAATTATAGCTCGAGTAATAAGTGCTTTAATATTAACTTAAGCTTCTCAATTCTCTTTACCAGTATAAGGTCCGCCTGATGATATGCGGTTACATTAGCCAGTGCTTCTTATTCCAACTCAAATGTAGTGAATTTCCATAAGTACGCTTGCTAACTTTATGTTTCTCATTTCAGACGGAGCTGTATGGCATAAAATGGCGTAAGCTCGTATGGGGGGAGACGAGCGGTGGTGGCGACGGGGAGGAAGGCGGCGCGCCGCTTGCAGATCCTGTGATCAGCAGCTATGCGCGCTGCCTAGCCGGCGATATCCTATGTGTATGGCGGCGGGTGCCGGCGCCGCAGCCGTCCGACATCTACGAGATGACCACGCCCGCGCCACCACCCCTCTCCCTCCGAGCCGCCAAAGAATTATGGATATTCTGGTATGGCGAGGAACCCGACCTGAATGGTCTCGTCGCTCCGGAGTTGATCGCAAGCCGTAAGTACCTACTGACTTAAGAATATGTGTATGTGTATAGTTTTTATTGCGACTAGTAACTTGTTCGCGGAACTGGTTAATTTTAGACGACGCTGACTCGAAACCTAACTAGGTTTATCTACTCCACTGTAATGATATCCTTTATCACATCAAGTCTTCTTCCATAGAAAAAAAACTAATTAACATTAAACCCGACCCCACCACAATATATAACATTTTTTTAAACTAAATGTGCTTTTTCTCGTAAACAATACGTTTTCTGGATAGAAGGCCTTTTATATCCCTCTCTGTATCCGTAGCAACATGTATACAAAAATTTATATTGATCAGAGGATATGACAGCCAGTAAAAAAACAAACAAACATGCACTGATTTTTATAGAAATACATAAAAAATTAACACACAGTCAGTACAGAAAACTTCAAAACAAAATGTATGAAGTAAATATTTAAACCACCCAACGTTCAATGACAATAAAAAAGCTGTCTCTACAGTAACTGAAATTAACGACTCGTTAACCGAACCGAGCGACTTAGTACCGTGACAATTAACAGAGAGATTAAAGATCTTGAAACGCTGCATCATCCCGGCGACAATAGCGCTGAATGACTGGAAGCCAGGAAGGTAGGCCGGAGAAGAACGAAGCGAGTAATCAACGTAATGAATGCTTCAAAGTACATCCACCCCTCACTGTTTTATTCGTCGGCCGAGCTACATTTGAATTGGAGAGTACTTTTCGCTTCTCCCTTGAAATTGTTTTCTTGCGACGCGACAAGTACAGAAAGAACGAGTCCTGTATTTTGTAAGACACAATTTTTAAGAGATACCACTTTTTTATCGAATACAATTAATATATTATTATTCTTAAAGTACCGTACAATCTTGAAATGTTAAATGTCAATAAGAAATCAAAAACTGCATAGCATTCATTATGCTTCAAAGTACATCCACCCCTCACTGTTATATTAGTCGGCCGAGGCTACATTTGAATTGGAGAGTACTTTTCGCTTCTCCCTTGAAATTGTCTTCTTGCGACGCGACAAGTACAGAACGAAAAGAGTCTTGCATTTTTAAGAGATACAAATTTTTTATCGAATAAAATTAATATCTTATTATTCTTAAATTACCGTACAATCTTGAAATGTTAGATATCAATAACTGAAAAGGAAATCCTGCGAGAACTATTCGGATCAAAACGATATTTTAGCAATAAAACTTCACGTTCCAATAATTAAATTGAATACAGCAATAGTCCAAACATCTGATGAATACATAAATATAATACAAATAACCAATATACATTAACAAAATAAATTGATTTACTATACTATAATGATAACTTCCGGCAGCGCAACGATAACAATTTTTTTGCACACATAATATATTTGTAAAACAACGAAAGTGTAAAAATCATAAATCAAGTTCTTTTGAGAGATTCTCGGGGAATTATCTCTAAACATATCCATTCATAATAAAATGATTTAAGATGTTGAATAATAAAATGTTTGATTAGTTATCAATATATATATTATGGAATAGCGTGAAATTAGTTTTGAAAACGGGTCTTTTAAAGTTGAAAAATCACTTTTAATGTATTTAGAAGAACTTGGATAAAAGATATCACAACATCTAGAATTAAGTAATACTGAAACTGCCTGCACTATGCCACTTGAAACTTTTATAAGCTACTGCCAAGTCGTTAAATAACTTGTTTGATTTATGTTTGAGATCCCTTGTAGTCGGTTGTACTTTAAATGAGGATTAAATATCAGAATATTGAGATTATTTAAATGTTATTTTTTGATGTCGAAAAAACATTTAATGCATTTCTCATTCTACGCGAATAGATACATGTTCAAATCTACGCGAATCATCACATCAACACCCTTTAATAGTCCACTGCTGGACATAGGCCTCTCCTTAGAAAGAAGGTTTTGGCCTACTATACCACGCTGGCCAGGCGGGTTGGTATAGGGTTTGTGTCAAGTTTTCCGTCTTTTTGCAGTGCTGGTGTCCTGCGTTGTTTTGCGCCCTTAGTCGGTTCTTACGACACCCACGGGATGAATTGGGGTAGTGACATTCCGTATTCTTAATCCGTCACGCGAATAGATACATGTTTTTTCATGTCAAGGCTATCCTTTCTCTTCCGAAAAATATACAAAAAAAAACGAAAAATTAAATATAATTCTCTGTTTTAACCTATATATTCTCGCAATTTCTAGGGCCAAAAATATTCCAAGTATCTCGCACACTTCGCCAAAGCGGAGACATAAAATTTCATTACTGGTTTTGGTAAGCCTGGCGGAAATCTTAATTTATGTTTAGCGGCAGATCTGGTCCATAGCCGGGACGGCCTGTGGCCCGCCCGTCCAATTTGTGACGACTTGACCTCGATTTTCTTCAGCCTTTTAGTGGGCGGCTCTATGGTCCACTTGCCCTTTTTTATGTCCCGTAATTTTAGTACTTGGTTGTCCTTATCCATTCTCAAAAGATTTTGTGCACTAATTTAATAAAGCTGAACAATTAAGAAGCCTGGTCAGGGTTTGAATTTTTGCTAAAGGCAGGCAATTACTGCGCAACCTCATTTCACTTACGATACAAACTCTACAGTAATGGTTGTTTAGCCTACGAAGTTTAGCATAATTAATGTACTTATGTGTCATTATTGTGCCCCTGACGCATTTGTACAGCAAAACTTGACTACAAAATTAGAAGTACTGACATGAATTTGACATTGACATGTCAAAGGAAACTCATTGTCGCCCTCTGTCTCTCACAGCCATAGGATATTTACTGTTGTCTTACACCTCTCTCTAGGTCGTCACCCGGCGGCGTACCAACACGTGATGTCCAATGTTGCTGTGTCCAGCCCTTAGTCAGTACTTCGAACCTGCGCTTCCGATGCTCTCGACTCTATGGCCTACGCTATTGGCGAGCTTGCCGAAACTTATTTCTACTGAAAACCGTGCCGAAAATGGATAAATTACACCCAGACACAGAACAAATAAATGAGCGTGCTCATCACATAATTATTTGTCCTGGGTGAGAATCCACCTCTGGCTCGGCAGTTAGGATCGCTAGCTACTAGATTAACAGACCCGTTTTCTCCCTTCCTCCCTTTTGAATGAAGTAGTAGGCAAATTATTAGTTTTTGTAAATTAAAAAAAAATATTTAAGTACTATGCTTTTTTGTATTGATTGTTTTGTGTACAAAATGTTAATAGGTCGTAATATATGATTTGCTGTATACGAATATATTCAAAATACTAATATTTTCGTATATTGCGTTCTAAATACCTATTTCTTTATTTGTTTTAAACATGAGTCATTTTGCTTGTTAATTTTAATGAATCATTTTAATATTAAATCCGAGTAACTTATTGCAAAATTAAATTTATAGAATAGGAAAATTATATTATCTCATTGTGATAATAATTGCTGCCAAAAAATTAACTATCTAAATTATTGTACATACTCACGTAAGGTGTCCGTATTACTTCTATGGATGATGCATCAGTGAACATAAATATAAATAAAATTAAAATGATTGCCGACATTTATCCATGTGTTTTATACATACCCGGGTTGAGTAGCGTTAAGTTTTTTGGTCAAGTTTCAGTATCACTTGACATTTTGTACTTACATTGGGATTGAGACCCATAGTTATGTTATAATGAAAGTTGGCACATTAAGAGTACGGATGAGAGACCTGAACGTAGGCGAAATGCGAATGCTGAGATGGATGTATGGTGTGACTCGGTTGGACCAGGTTAGGAATGAGTATATACGAGGGATGAAAAGTTAAGAAGTAATTGGTTATCTTGGTATGAACGTTTCATGCGAAGAGATGAAGATAATGTGGCGAAGAAAGTTTTAGGTATGGTAATTGAAGGGTACAAGATAAAAGGAAGACCAAAGAAAAGGTGGATAGACTGTAAGTGAGGATATGGCTAGGAAGGGAGTAAACAGTGAGATGAAGCATGATAGAGTAAAATGGAAAAATCATACTTACTGCGCCGACCCCAAATAAAATTGGGATAAGGGTAGGCAGATGATGATGAGTTATGTGATAATAAGTTAACATACAATTTACGTAGTAATTTGAATTTTTGTTTTTCATTCGATGAGATTTAATTTAATTTTTGTTTCTATAGAGTTCTTCTATTTATTCAGCAAGTAAATATGACAACTGATAATACGATCCTCCGAATAATCAATTCCACAAGCAATCCCTTATTCAACAGGTGGTTTATTTCTTAACAGCACTTTCTGTTGAATGGCACCGAATGATTTACTTTTCGGGTAATTTAGCCCTATATTTGATAACTTTATTTAAAGCCTTTTCTCTGACCAGTGGCTTATACATCTAAGATTGATGTCGTATGTAAATTAAAGCTATCGGGTTTACGGCTTTTTGAAATTGGAGTGGTATGGTATTATAATGTTTGGTTAGGAAATTTGGTAGGCGGTTGTTTGTACCACACTACGATATTTCTGAAAATGCAATGTGGAGTACTTCTAGTAAATGATGGTGGTGGAAAATGGCTTCCACCTTAAAAAATTAAACCAATCATATAATATCATTATACATGGTAGAATGTTTCACCCGTTGCTAAAGAACATCCAACCAGGTCTGGAATTGGTCGAGCGCCCCCGATGTCAACATGGTACTAAAACCTTATATCATCGTCGCTTACCAAACAACACTGCCAAAGTCGAAATTGAAACTAGAGTATCGCATTTCGATTACAACATACACATAACATCGTTATCAAACAGCCTTTAATATTTCACTGCTGGATATAGGCCTCTCGTTAGAAACAAACAAAACATAATATACTTAACTACTACGAACAAATCTGCTTCGATATACTCATATATCACGCGCAATAAGGCTTACTAATATTATAAAAATACATGTAGATATCTACAACTGTAGTCTGCCGAGCTTCAAAGAAGTTGCCCAAAGGTGTATTACAGCAAATGATTTTTCTTAATAAAATAAATGTTACTTACTGTATCGTTTTGGGATAAGGATCCTGTAAAGACTGTTAATGTTTTAAAATAAATAAAAATTATACAGCCTTATAATTAATAAATTAAGTAGTTTCACTCCTGTAAAGTCATTCAGAATGACTTTGGCGGTGTTCGATAAGCGACGTTATCCTTGATTAATTTTACCTGTTTATATTGTTACGGCGAGTTCGTTGACCTCATATCTAATCGCATCATTAATCGGGTCCGGTGCTTGCTTACCACTTAATAAAGTACAAAAATGACCAATTAATGTTATAAGATCATAACTTATATAACTAAAATACGAATAATTTCGATTCTTTAGTATGTATAATATTTATTCATATGAAATAGGCTTTAAAACTGGCGAGCAGTCTCAGTCCTATATCAATTCAATATGGAAAAAGAATTATCAACAACCTATTGTTAAGCATTATACGCTATGCTATAATTAAATAACTACTCAACCAATGATGATGTAATTGGGTACCATGAAAACCCATGACACTTATTCTGTACAAAATATGACTGTGCGCAATGATTAACACAATCATTGACGTTCTTCGGGAGTGAAGATTTTCCTTGTGCAAACTTATTCACCGCAAGCTGTGCGCGCGCAGCTCGCGACGCGCCCTCTAGCGGACAAGTTCACGCGCAGCCGATCCAATACCAAAATAGACTGTGACATAAATCTACATAAACGGTCTTTATTTTGGTCCTCCGCCATTGTTTTGGTCTGCGATGTGAAGCATAACCCATTCAAAGTCTCTATTACTTCTTTCATTCTTGGTTTACAATGTAATATGAGAGATAAGTACTGCAACTCTTTGTTATTTTAAAGTTTTCTGAGAAACAATAAGCCTGTGTGGTTATTTAAATAATGTAAGTAAGCTTACAAATACAAAGCATTGTTCATACATAAATAATTAATACGTTTACTATGCTCGTAGTTGTAGGACACCGACAGCTTCTGAGTCATATTTCAACGTATTGAAATTTCAATTTAAGCATGTATATTACTTAAAAAATAAACCGCTGAGGTAGCAAACCAATAAGAGATATTTGACCGTAGTTAGGTGAGATTATAAGTAAACAAAACAAAGGTGGTTTGCTGCTAATACATGTTCATAACGCTATTTGTCATAGCTTCATTCAGGTAGTACAGTTGGACAAAGATTTTTAAGTCTAAACTTATGTACTGTCCCAGTTGGGCGACATCAAATAAATATAGACAAAAAATTACTTAACTCTTTTATACCATCTGTTTCTATCATTGAAGTAATTGAAAGTGATAAAAATGTTATTTATGGAATGAAAAAAAAAATTGCCACAGTCATGCGACATGCCACTAAGAGTCTTTTTGTCAATAAGTGAGACAAGAGCACTGGAGTTGACTTCGTTCAAACCCCATTTCAAATCCATTACCGACAAGGCTTTTCCCTTATTCTTCACACGATCGAGGACACCAAGCGTCTCGCTCATTTCTTTTTTATTGAATTCACTGACATTGTTAAACAAAAGGATTCTTTATTGTATGTGTTATGCTAGTCCTTCAGAGAGTGTCTATTAAGTTTATGGTCTGAATACATGGTGTTGGAACTCAATTGTTCTAACCTTGCATTTCCAGTTGAATCGATAGGTTTAAAGCCTACCGCCTGATAAACAGCAGATCTCAATTGATTCTGTGATAAGCAAGTTTTCAGCTAATAGTGTACTGTAATTGCTAGAGGTTGTATGTACTTGATATCGTAGTCGTGTACGGACCGACGGATGCTTATCATAAACGCTATTTATATAAACATATATTTAACAAGGTATTGTTCTATTATTTCAGGATCGCTTATCGATGAGTAGTAGTCAAAATCTCTCTGATCCTTCAGTTAAATTTCAAGCTGCTTAAATGGCTCGCCCCGGCTTTCGAAGAGTGTACTAATGACGTAAATGAAACAAAATTCATTTAATTTTAAACTTTTGTTGCTGTTTCGAATGTAGCGAATAGGACAATAAAGAAACTGAACGTCAATCTGTCAATATTTTTGAAGAGTTTCTGACTCATTCGCTCATCTACTTTAACTTACGTACAACAAAAAAGAACGTAACAGCTACTGCATTGCAGCTATTTTGAAGAGATGCGCTTACATTCAGCGATAAGTATATAATTCTGATTTATATAGATTTTAGATTAAAAAAAAAAAACATTTTAAAATTGCTTTCTCCGTAACACCTGTAAACGACAGCCCTAGCACTAATACTTATCGTAATCTGATAACGTTTTGTGAAGGCAACTCGATTGTAAGTAATCTAAGGTTACTTTGATCGTCCACAAATAAGTGCGAACTTGCTGCTGGAGCTATATTCCTTCTAACAAACTAAAGCTTTCAGAAGCTTTCCTAGTAATCGTTAACTTTATTCACCCACTTCTCAATAAGTGAAAGTTTGTAAGGTCGAAGGCACTTACAAGAACCT